TGTCAAGAGTTGCTTGTTGGCATCCATTATTTGCTTATTTAATGATTCCATCATTTGCTTGTTTGCAGCTACTATCTCGTCAGTTGGACACACAGGAGGTTGATTGGAGACATTTGGATTGTAAGGAGGACGGTAGCTTGAAGAGGCTTGGAAAGGTCTACCTTGATATTGAGAAGAGGGCTGATTTTGCCGCCCTTGGTTTTGGAATTGGGAATTCTGTGGGGCTTGTTGCCGCCATGAGAAATTCGGATGATCACGCCAACCCGGATTGTAGGTGTTGGAATATGGATTGTTCCCGGGCCGCGAGAACATGGCATTAGCTTGCTCTTGGTTGGGACTAGGAAATTGCTCCGATGTGGGGCAATCTTCCGAGAGATGGAATGGACTAGTACATGAAGCACAAACTGAACTTGCCGAATTTTGAGACAATGAAGGAGGAAGATGTGGTGCCATCAATTGATAGAATTTATGAGCGATGGCATCCACTTGAGATGATTCCTCCCTTATTGACTTTGGTTGACAAGGGTTGGTGTTGTTTGGAGTGGTTGCGGTCGGAGCCCTACGAGAATTGTGTTGAAGTGAATTTTCACTCAAATTCTCAAGTAAGGTCCAAGCCTCATCCGCATTCTTGGACATGAACATCCCACCACAAGAAGAATCAACCATGAATCTATGGGTTTCGGTCAAGCCGGCATAGAAAGCTTGCACTAATTGCCATTTTGGGATCAAATGATGAGGACACTTCCGAAGAAGATCTTGTAACCTTTCCCAACTCTCGTGGAGTTGTTCTCCATCAACTTGAGAAAAGCTTAGAATGGAACGCCTCATTTGGTTGGTTTTACTCACCGGATAATACTTCTTAAGAAATTCTTATTGCAATTGAGCCCAAGAAGTAATAGAGTTGGGAGCGAGGGAGTTCAACCAATATTTTGCCCTATCCTTTAGGGAGAATGGGAAGAGATGGAGATGAAGTGCATTGTCCGGAAAACCTCTCAACCGGATGGTTGAACAGATTTCAAGGAACTCATCAAGATGCTTGTATGGATCTTCATTATCAAAGCCATGAAATGATGGAAGCATTTGAATGGTACTAGACTTGATCTCATATTGAGCTGCATCGATGTTTGGCATCACTATGCAAGATGGAGAAGCATAGGTGGTAGGGATGAAATGATCTCTAAGAGTCATTGGCTCGATATTAGGAATTTCAGCCCTTTCATTCCCCGGATTTCCTACGTTATCCCCCATTATATTGAATCCAGTTTCAAGGTCCCTTGTAAGAGTGGGTTCCCTAAGGTTCCGTCTAAGAGTTCTTTCAAGAGAATTGATATCAATGGGCGAATCGATTGTGGGTAAGGAAAGTGACCTACGACCGAACATCAACAATAAAGCATAAACTCAACAAAGCAATTCATCAACCACAACTCCACATACGATGTTCCCTTTCTCCTCAATTATCAAGACGGAAAATGTAAATGGCCACGACAAGGACCGATGCTTTAATACAAAATTTAAACAGGATAAGAGCCTCAACAAGGGCTTCACAACTAAACTAAAACTAAATTTAACACATGCACAATATTCACAACTCGAAACTAGAAGTCACGAGACTTACCTGGGGTCCTCTAGACTTACAATTTGCTAGCATTCCCACGGCGAGCTTCGAGTCCCTAGAATCTTACAACACTTAAAACACAAAGGTGGTCAAAACACACAAGGAATATTCACAAGACACAATATTCACAATCAAACTAAATTTAACCCTAGAAACTTCGGTTGCTAAACCGTTTGCAGTCCCCGGCAACGGCGCCAAAAATTGATCGGTTGGTCAATTAACATCAACCTTCGCAATAGCACGAATCATTGTAAAATAGGGCTATTGGTCGGGTAAGTCGAACCACAGGGACTACGCTAGTCTAATACAACCTAAATGTCTAGAATCACTCTTAGAATGATGAAGGGTGTATAGAGGTTTTGTTGGATGTCACTTAAGCTAGGAAATTAAAAGTGCATAAAACAATAAATTGCAAGAATTCAAGGGAGCGAAGTACAAGTAAAGAAGGCTAGGGAAATGAATCCACCTCCATCCCTATACACATGCTAGGTTAAGATTAATTTAAGGGGAAAACAACATATATGATAGTCATGATACATAACAATACTAGGTTGCTATAATATCCTTAAGAAGTTCATTTAATTAGAAAGGCAAGAATAAACCATCAAAGGTTCACATGATCAACTACCTAAACTAAAATGTAGCTTAGAACATGCTTACTAAGCCAAGGATTATCAAGCCCTAATTTAAATGGTGAATGCACATAAAGCTAAGAATCAAGTATAGCCCATCAAAGGGAAACCCTAAGCCATGAACTATCTAGGTTCTCCAACTCCATGCCATTAAAACCATTCCGTGATCTAACTTCCATTGTCACCATGGAAGTGCAAGCAATATGATTAAGAAAAGCAACCATCCAAGACAAGATGAATAACTCACAATAATCATTTAAAACATTCAACATTCATTACAACAAAAATGAGGCTCTTGACCATGGAAAGACTATCAAAAATACATTGTGATCCCCAAAAATAAACTATACTAACACATGCTTACAAGGGAGGGGTTTCATCACCTCCCTAGATGAGGTTTAGTTACCCATTGGTGAACTAGAAGAAGGAAGAAGCATCATCCTCATCTCCATTTTCGAGCTCCTACTGTAGCACTCAAGAACACCCTTCTCCTTGCTCTCTTCTCTCTCCTTTCTCTTGCTCAAGATAAAGCTTAATGATATATGTGGCCTTTGGGTAGCCTTTTATGCTCCAACAATACCCTCTCTCCTCCAAGGAACACCTCCAACCACTTCATAAAGAAGGAAGATGGCATTGAGGAAACCAATGTGCAAGTGGGCTGAAATGAGCCATTTCCGAAGGGCATTCTGCCTGATTTTCGAGCACACGCTTGGTGACATCGAGCACTCTAACTTAGTGCAATGTGCAACATGCTCCTCTTGCTCAGTGCTGACCTATTTTGGGAAAACTGCTATAACTTTGTGCCCCGAACTCCGAATGACGATCTGTTTGAAGCTTTGGAGAGCTGATTCAGTGCTTTAAAAACTTCATGTTTTGATGAAGACCCAAATCTCAAGTCTGGTTGGTCGAAAATGGGGAGAAAGGAAGTACATCAGTGCTGCTAGGCAGTTCTGCGCACCTCTGTTGTGAAGATCATAACTCTCTGCTCCGAACTCCGAATGATGAATCACTTGAAGATTTGGAAAGCTTATTCAGAGCTCTAAATCTTTCATGTTATGAGGGAAGTCCAGTTCTCGAGTTTGGAAGGTCAAAATGGCAAGCAAAGTCCAGGCTCTACTGCTGCCAGAATTCAGCATTGGCACCTTTTGTTGCTCAAGATTCCACAAGGCCTTATTCTTGTTCCATTTTGGCCAATGAACCTGAAAATGCATAAAAACATAGAATTGGAGTTAATCTACATAAAATAATCAATAACTGGACTTTGTTAATGTAATTTAGGGCGCTTGAATATACATTATTCGGCGCTTATCAGTGTGTGTATATTTTTATTAGTTTATTTATTAATGGCAAGCGAACGCGTCGGTAAGGACAATAGAACGGTGTAGGAATGGGTTTAAAGGGAAATGAAAGCGCGAGTTTATCGGGTTCGATTATACCAGTACTAATGCACTGTATCCCATCATAACTCCGCACTTAAGTTTGCTTGGGTGAGAGTAGTTTTAGGACGGGTGACCCCCATAGAAGTCCTCACGTTGCACCCCTTTTTTGTCTGGTTTTGGATTTTTAATCTCATTAATGTTTGTGTATATCTTTATTAGTTTATTTATTTATGGCGAGTGAACGCATCGACAAGGGTAATAGAACGGGATAGGAATGGGTGTAATGGGAAATGGAGGCGAGAGTTTGTCGGGTGCGATCATTCCAGCACTAATGCTCCGGATCTCATCAGAACTCCGCAGTTAAGCATGCTTAGGCGAGAGTAGTACTAGGATGGGAGACACCCTGGAAAGTCCTCGTGCTGCACCATTTTTTGTACGATTTGGGATTTTTAATTTCATTAATGTGTGTGTATATTTTTATTAGTTTATTTATTTATGGCGAACGAACCCGTCGGCAAGGGCAAAGGAGCGGGGTGGAAATGGGTTGAAAGGGAAATGGAGGTGAGAGTTTGTCGGGGGCGATTGTACCAACACTAATGCACCGGATCCCATCAAAACTCCGCAATGAAGCGTGCTTGGGTGCGAATAGTCTTTGGATGGGTGACCCCCAAGAAAGTCTGCGTGTTGCACCCCTTTTTTGTCCAATTCTGATTTTTTTATTTCATTAATGTGTGTGTATATTTTTGTTAGTTTATTAATTTATGGCGAGCGAACGCGTTGGCAAGGGCAATAGAATGGGGTGGGAATGGGTTTAAAGGGAAATGGAGGCGAGAATTTATTTGGTGCGATCATACCAGCACTAATGCACTGGATACCATCAGAACTCCTCAGTTAAGTGCGCTTGGGTGAGAGTAGTACTAAGAAGGTTTACCCCCTGGGAACTATTCTTGTTGCACCCCATTTTTGTTAGGTTTCAAAATTTTATTTTCATTAATGTGTGTGCAAATATTTTTTTTAGTTTATTTACTTATGGGGAGCGAATGCGTCGGCATGGGCAATAGAACGGGGTGGGAATTGGCTTAAAGAGAAATGGAGGCAATAGTTTATCGGGTGCGATCATACCAGCACTAATGCACCGGATCAAATCAAAACTCCGCAGTGAAGCGCGCTTGGGCGAGAGTAGTACTAGGATGGGTGACCCCCTAAGAAGACCTCATGTTACACCCCTTTTTTGTCCGGTTTTGGATTTTTAATTTCATTAATGTGTGTGTATATTTTTATTAGTTTATTTATTTATAGCGAGCGAACGCGTCGGCAAGGGCAATAGAGTGGGGTGGGATTGGGTATAAATGGAAATGGAGGTGCGAGTTTGTCGGGTGCGATCATACCAGCACTAATGCACCGGATCCCTTCAGAACTCCGTAGTGAAGCGTGCTTTGGCGGGATTAGTACTAACATGGGTGACCCCTCGGAAGTCCTCGTGTTGCATCCCTTTTTCGTCCTGTTTCAAATTTTTAATTTCGTTAATGTGTGTGTATATTTTTATTAGTTTATTTATTTATGACCAGCGAATGCGTCGGCAAGGGCAATAGAACTGGGTGGGAATCTGTATAAAGGGAAATGGAGGCGAGAGTTTGTTGGGTGCGATCATACCAGAACTAATGCACTGGATCCCTTCAGAACTCCATTGTGCAGCGTGCTTGGGTGAGAGTAGTACTAGGATGCGTGACCCCCTGGGAAGTCCTCGTGTTGTACCCCTTTTTTGTCCGGTTTTGGATTTTAAATTTCATTAATGTGTGTGTATATTTTTATCAGTTTATTTATCAATGGCGAGCGAACGTGTCCGCAAGGACAATAGAACGGGGTAGGAATTGGTTTAAAGGGAAATGAAGGCAGGAGTTTATCTGGTGCGATTATACCAGCACTAATACACTGTATCCCATCATAACTCCGCAGTTAAGTGTGCTTGGGCGAGAGTAGTATTAGGATGGGTGACCCCTTTGGAGGTCCTCTTGTTGCACCCTTTTTTTGTCTTGTTTTGGATTTTTAATTTCATTAATGTGTGTGTATATCTTTATTAGTTTATTTATTTTTGGCAAGCGAACGCGTCGGCACGGGCAACATAACGGGGTGGGAATGGGTGTAATGGGAAATGGAGGCGAGAATTTGTCAGGTGCGATCATTCCAACACTAATGCTCCGAATCCCATCAGAACTCCGCAATTAAACATGCTTAGGCGAGGGTAGTACTAGGATGGGAGACACCCTGGAAAGTCCTCGTGCTGCACCCTTTTTTTGTTCGGTTTGGGATTTTTAATTTCATTAATGTGTGTGTATATTTTTATTATTATATTTATTAATGGTGAGCGAACGCGTGGGCAAGGGTAATAGAACGGGGTGGGAATAGGTTTAAAGGGAAATGGAGGCGAGAGTTTATTTGGTGCGATTATACCTGCACTAATACACTGTATCCCATCAGAACTCTACAGTTAAGCGTGCTTGGGCGAGAATAGTACTAGGATGGGTGACCCCTTGGGAAGTCCTTGTGTTGCATCCCTTTTTTGTCCAGTTTTGGATTTTTAATTTCATTAATGTGTGTGTATATCTTTATTATTTTATTTATTTATGGCGAGCGAACGCGTCGGTAAGGGCAATAGAATGGGGTGGGAATGGGTTTAATGGGAAATGGAGGCGAGAGTTTGTCGGGTGCGATCATTCCAGCACTAATGCACTGGATCCCATCAAAACTCCACATTTTTGCGTGCTTGGGCGAGAATAGTACTAGGATGGGAGACACCCTAGAAAGTCGTCGTGCTGCACCGCTTTTTTGTCCGGTTTTGGATTTTTAATTTCATTAATGTGTGTGTATATTTTTGTTAGTTTGTCGGGGGCGATCATACCAACACTAATGCACCGGATCCCACCAGAACTCCATAGTTAAACGCGCTTGGGTGACAATAGTTCTAGGATGGGTGACCCCATGCGATGTCCTTATGTTGCACCCCCTTTTTCGGATTTTTCATTTACTAATGTATGAGTATATTTTTATTACTTTATTTATTTATGGCGAGCGAAAACGTCGGCAAGGGCAATAGAACGGGGTGGGAATGGGTGTAAAGGGAAATGGAGGCGAGAGTTTGTCTGGTGCGATCATAGCAGCGTCAATGTCCAGGAACCCATCAGAACTCCCCAGTTAAACGCGTTTGGGCGAGAGTAGTACTAGGATGGGTGACCCCCTAAGAATTACTCGTGTTACACCCCTTTTTTGTCCAGTTTCGGATTTTTAATTTCATTAATGTGTATGCATATTTTTGTTAGTTTTTTTTATTTTTTTTTATTTTTTATTTTTTTATTATTTTTTTATGCCGAGTGAACGTGTCAGCTGGGGCAATAGAACAGGGTGGGAATGGGTTTAAAGGAAAATGGTGGTGAAAGTTTGTCGGGTGCGATCATACCAACACTAATGCACCGGATCTCATCAGAATTCCGTAGTTAAGCGTGCTTGGGTGAGAGTAGTACTAGGATAGGTAAACCCCTGGGAAGTCTTCGTATTGCACCCCTTTTTTGTCCGGTTTCAGATTTTTAATTTCATTAATGTGTATGTATATTTTTATAAGTTTATTTATTTGTGGCGAGCGAACGCACCGGCAAGGGCAACAGAATGGGGTGGGAATAGGTTAAAAGGGAAATAGAGGCGAGAGTTTGTCGGGTGCGATCATACCATCACTAACGCATCTGATCCCATCAGAACTCCGCAGTGAAGCGTGCCTGGGCGAGAATAGTAGTAGGCTGGGTGACCCCCTAGGAAGTCTTCGGGTTACTCCCCCTTTTTATCTGATTTTGAATTCTTTATTTCATTAATGTGTGTGTATATTTTTATTAGTTTATTTATTTGTGGCGAGCGAACGCGTCGGCAAGGGCAATAGAATGGGGTGGGAATGGGTTTGAAAGGAAATGGAGGCGATAATTTATCTTGTACGATTATACCAGCACTAATGCACCGGATACCATCAGAACTCCGCAGTTAAGCGCATTTTGGCAAGACTAGTAGTAGGATGGTTGACCCCCTGGGAAATCTTCGTGTCGTACCCCTTTTTTTGTTCGGTTTCGGGTTTTTAATTTCATTAATGTGTGTGTAAATTTTTCTTAGTTTATTTACTTATGGCGAGCAAATGCGTCGGAATGGGTAATAGAACGGGGTGGGAATTGGCTTCAAGAGAAATGGAGGTGATAGTTTGTTGGGTTCGATCATTCCAGCACTAATGCACCGGATCCAATCAAAACTCCGCAGTGCAACACGCTTGGGCGAGAGTAGTACTAGGATGGGTGACCCCCTGGGAAGTCCTCAAGTTGCACCCCATTTTTGTCTAGTTTCGGATTTTAAATTTCCTTAATGTGTGCAAATTTTTAGTAGTTTATTTATTTATGTTGAGCGAACGCGTCGGCAAAGGCAATTAAACGGGGTGGGAATGGGTTTAAAGGGAAAAGGAGGCAAGAGTTTGTCGGGTTCGATCATACCAGCACTAATGCACCGGATCCCTTCAGAACTCCGCAGTGAAGCGTGCTTAGGCGACTATTGTAATAGGATGGGTGAACCCCTGGGAACTCCTCATGTTGCACCCCTTATTTTTCCGGTTTCGGATTTTTAATTTCATTAATGTGTGTGTATATTTTAATTAGTTTATTTATTAATGGCGAGTGAATGCGTCGGCAAGGGCAATAGAACGGGGTGGGAATGGGTTGAAAGGGAAATGGAGGCGAGAGTTTGTCGGGTGCGATTATACCAGCACTAATGCACCCTATCCCATCAAAACTCCGCCGTTAAGCGTGCTAGGGAGAGAGTGGTACTAGGATGGGTGTCCCCCTAGGAAGTCCTCATGTTGCACACCTTTATTTTCTGATTTCAGATTTTTAATTTCATTAATGTGTGTGTATATTTTTATTAGTTTATTTATTTGTGGTGGCCGAAAGCGTCGGCATGGGCTATAGAATGGGGTGGGAATGGATTTAAAGGGAAATGAAGGCGAGAGTTTGTCTGGTGCGATCATACCAGCGTTAATGCACCGGATCCCATCAAAACTCCCCATTTAAGTGCGCTTGGGCGAGAGTAGTACTAGGATGGGTGACCCCCTGGGAAGTCCTCGTGTTGCACCCCTTTTTGTCTTGTTTTGGATTTTTAATTTCATTAATGTGTGTGTATTTTTTTATTATTTTATTTATTTATGGCTATCGAATGCGTCGGTAAGGGCAATAGAATAGTGTGGGAATGGGTTTAATGGAAAATGGAGGCGAGAGTTTGTCGGGTGCGATTATACCAGTAGTAATGCACCAAATCTCATCAGAAGTCCGCAGTTAAGCAAGCTTGGGCGAGAGTAGTACAAGGATGGGTGAACCCCTGGGAAGTCCTCGCATTGAACCCCTTTTTTGTCGAGTTTCGGATTTTTAATTTCATTAATGTGTGTGTATATTTTTATTAGTTTATTTATTAGTGGCGAGCGAACACTTCGGAAAAGGAAATAAACGGGGTGGGAATAGGTTTAAAGTGAAATGGAGCTGAGAGTTTGTCCGGTGCGATCATACCAGTACTAATGCATCGGATCCCAACAGAACTCCGCAGTGAAGCGTGCTTGAGAGAGAATAGTACTTGGATGAGTGACCTCCTAGGAAATCCGCGTGTTGTACCCCTTTTGTGTCCGATTTTGATTTTTTTATTTCATTAATGTGTGTGTATATTTTTTTTAGTTTATTTATTTTTTGCGAGCGAACGCGTCGGCAAGGGCAATCGAACGGGGTGGGAATAGGTTTCAAGGGAAATGGAGGCCAGAATTTGTCTGTTGCGATCATACCCGCATTAATGCACCGGATACTATCAGAACTCCGCAGTTAAGTGCGCTTGGACGAGAGTAGTACTAGGAAGGTTGACCCCTTGGGAAGTCTTCATGTTGCACCCTTTTTTGTTCGGTTTCGGATTTTTAATTTCATTAATGTGTGTGTATATTTTTATTAGTTTATTTTCTTATGGCAAGTGAATGCGTCGGCTTGGGCAATAGAATGGGTTGGGAATTGGCTTAAAGAGAAATGGAGGCAATAGTTTGTCGGGTGCGATCATAGCAGCACTAATGCACCGGATCCAATCAAAACTCCGCAGTGAAGCACGCAATTGGTGATCCCCTGGGAAGACCTCATGTTGTACCCCTTTTTTTGTTCGGTTTCGGATTTTTAATTTCATTAATGCGTGTGTGTATTTTTATTAGCTTATTTATTAGTGGTGAGCGAACGTGTCAGCAAGGGCAATAGAATGGGGTGGGAATGGGTTTAAAGGGAAATGGAGGCGAGAGTTTGTCAGGTGCGATCATACCAGAACTACTACACCAGATCCCTTCAGAATTCCACGGTGAATCGTGCTTGGGCGAGAGTGGTACTAGGATGGGTGACCCCTTGGGATGTCCTCTTGTTGCACCCCTTTTTTGTCTGGTTTTGGATTTTAATTTCATTAATGTGTGTGCATATCTTTATTAGTTTATTTATTTATGGTGAGCGAACGCGTTAGCAAGGGCAATAGAATGGGGTGGGAATGGATTTAAAGGGAAATGGAGGCGAGGATTTGTCTGGTGCGATTATACGAGCATTAATGCACTGGATCTCATTCGAACTCCGCAGAAAAGTGCACTTGGACCCCTTTTTAGTCCGGTTCCGGATTTTTAATTTCATTAATGTGTGTGTATATTTTTATTAGTTTATTTATTTATAGCGAGCGAATGCGTCTGCAAGGGCAATAGAAGGGGGTGGGAATTGGTTTAAAGAGAAAATGGTGGCGAGAGTTTGTCTGGTGTGATCATACCAGCACTGATGCACCAGATCCCATTAGAACTCCACAGTGAACTATGCTTTGGCAAGAGTAGTACTAGGATGGGTGACCCCCTGGGAACTCCTCGTGTCACACCCCTTTTTTGTCCAGTTTTGGATTTTTAATTTCTTTAATGTATGTGTATATTTTTATTAGTTTATTTATATATGGCGAGCAAACATGTTGGAAAGGGCAATAGAATGGGGTGGGAATGGGTTTAAAGGGAAATGGAGGCGAAAGTTGGTCGGGTGCGTTCATACCAACACTAATGCACCCGATCCCATCAGAACTCTGCAGTTAAGCACGCTTGGGCAAGAGTTCTACTAGGATGGGCAACCCCCTGGGAAGTCCTCGTGTTGCTCCCTTTTTTTGTCCAGTTTTGGATTTTTAATTTCATTAATGTGTGTGTATTTTTTTATTAGTTTATTTATTTATGGCGTGCGAATGCGTCGGCAAGGGCAACAGAACAGGGAGGGAATGGGTTTAAAGGGAAATAAAGGCGAGAGTTTGTTGGGTACGACCATACTAGCACTAATGCTCCGGATCCCATTAGAACTCCCTAGTTATGCGCGCTTGGGCGAGAGTTCTACTAGGATGGGTGACCCCCTGGGAAGTCCTCGTGTTGCATCCTTTTTTTGTTTGGTTTCGAATTTAAATTTTCATTAATGTGCGTGTATATTTTTTTTAGTTTATTTATTTACGGCAAGCGAACGCTTCGGCAAGGGCAATAGAACGGGGTGGGAATGGGTTTAAAGGGAAATGGAGGCGAGAGTTTGTTGGGTACGATCGTACCAGCACTAATGCTCTGGATCCCATCAGAATTTCGTAGTTAAGCGCGCTTGGGCAAGAATAGTACTAGGATGGGTGACCCCCTTGGAAGTCCTCCAGTTCCACCACTTTTTTGTTCGATTTCAATTTTTAGTTTCTTTAATGTGTGCGTATATTTTAATTAGTTTATTTAAAATATACGTACCCATTAAAGTATTCGATTTTTTTGTTCAATTTTCGATTTTTAGTTTCTTTAATGTGTGCGTATATTTTAATTAGTTTATTTAAAATATACGCACACATTAAAGCACACATTTAAAATATTCAATTTTTTTGTTCGATTTTTGATTTTTACTTTCTTAAATGTGTGCGTATATTTTAATTAGTTTATTTATTAATGGCAAGCGAACGCGTTGGAAAGGGCAATAGAACAAGGTGGGAATGGGTTTAAAGGGAAAAGGAAGCGAGAGTTTGTCGGGTGCGATTATACCAGCACTAATGCACCGAATCCCATCAAAACTCCGCAGTTAAGCATGCAAGGGCGAGAGTAGTACTAGGATGGGTGACCGCATGGGAAGTCCTCGTGTTGCACACCTTTTTTGTCCCATTTCTGATTTTTAATTTCATTAATGTGTGTATATATTTTTATTAGTTTATTTATTTGTGGCGAGTGAACGCGACGGCAAGGGCAATAGATCGGGATGGGAATGGGTTTAAAGGGTAATGGAGGTGAGAGTTTGTCGGGTGCGATCATACCAGCACTAATGCACCGGATCTCATCTGAACTACGCATTTAAGCAAGCATGGGCGACAGTAGTACTAGGATAGGTGAACCCTTGGGAAGTCCTCGTCTTGCACCCCTTTTTTGTCCGGTTTTGGATTTTTAATTTCATTAATGTGTGTGTATATTTTTATTAGTTTATTTATTTGTGACGAGCGAACGCGTCGGCAAGGGCAATAGAACGGCGTGGGAATAGGTTTAAAGTGAAATAGAGGCGAGAGTTTGTTGGGTGTGATAATGCCAGCACTAATGCATCGGATCCCATCAGAACTCCGCAGTGAAGCGTGCTTGGGCGAGAGTAGTACTTGGATGGGTGACCCACTAGGAAGTCCGCATGTTGCACCCCTTTTTTTTATCAGATTTTGAATTTTTATTTCATTAAGGTGTGTGTATATTTTTATTAATTTATTTATTTGTGGCGAGCGAACACATCGGCAAGGGCAATAGAGTAGGGAGGGAATGGGTTTAAAGGGAAATGGAGGCCAGAATTTGTCTGGTACAATCATACCAGCACTAATGCACCGGATACCATTAGAACTCCGCTGTTAAGTGCGCTTGGGCGAGAGTAGTACTAGGATGGTTGACCCCTTGGGAAGACCTCATGTTGCACCCCTTTTTTGTCCGGTTTTGGATTTTTAATTTCATTAATGTGTGTGCATATTTTTATTAGTTTATTTATTTATGGCGAGTGAATGCGCCAGCAAGGGCAATAGAACGGGGTGGGAATGGGTATAAAGGGAAATGAAGGTGGGAGTTTGTTAGATGCGATCATACCAGCACTAATGCACCGGATCCCTTCAGAACTCCGCAGTGAAGCATGCTTGGGCGAGGGTAGTACTAGGATGGGTGTCCCCTTGGGAAGTCCTCGTGCTGCACCCTTTTTTTGTCCGATTTCGGATTTTTAATTTCGTTCATGTGTGTGTATATTTTTATTAGTTTATTTCTTTATGGCGAGCGAACGCGTCGGCAAGGGCAACAGAACATGGAGGGAATGGGTTCTAAGGGAAATGGAGGTGAGAGTTTGTTGGGTGCCATCGTACCAGCCTCAATGCTCCGAATCCCATCAGAACTCCGCTGTGATGCGCGCTTCTGTGAGAGTTCTACTAGGATTGGTGACCCCCTGGGAAGTCTTCGTGTTGCATCATTTTTTTGTTTGGTTTTGGATTTTTTATTTCATTAATGTGTGTGTATATTTTAAATAGTTTATTTATTTATGGCGAGCGAACGCTTCGACAAGGGCAATAAAACGGGGTGGGAATGGGTTTAAAGGGAAATGGAGGCGAGAGTTTGTTGGGTGCGATTGTACCAGCACTAATGTTCTGGATCCCTTCAGAACTCCGCTGTTAAGTACGCTTGGCCAAGAATAGTACTAGGATGGGTGACCCCCTAGGAAGTCCTTGTCTTGCACCCCTTTTTAGTCCGGTTTCGGATTTTTAATTTCATTAATGTGTGTGTATATTTTTATTAGTTTATTTATTTGTGGCGAGTGAACGCGTTGGCAAGGGCAATTGAACGGCGTGGGAATAGGATTTAAGTGAAATAGAGGCAAGAGTTTGTCGGGTGCGATCATACTAGCACTATTGCATCAGATCCCATCAGAACACTGCAGGGAAGCGTGCTTGGGTGAGAAAAGTACTTGGATGGCCACTAACTAGGAAGTTCGCGTATAGCACCCCTTTTTTGTCAGATTTTGAATTTTTTATTTCATTAAGGTGTATGTGTATATTTTTATTAATTAATTTATTTGTGGCGAGCGAACGCATTGGTAAGGGCAACAAAATGGGGTAGGAATGGGTTTAAAGGGAAATGGAGGCCAGAATTTGTCCAGTGCGATCATACCAGCACTAATGCACCGGATACCATTAGAACTCCACAGTTAAGCGTGTTTGGGCAAGAGTAGTACTAGGATGGTTGACCCCTTGGGTAGTCTTCGATTTGCACCCCTTTTTTGTTTGGTTTCGGATTTTTGATTTCATTATTGTGTGTGTATATTTTTATTAGTTTATTTTCTTATAGCGAGCGAATACGTCGGCATGGGCAATAGAATGGGGTGGGAATTGGCTTAAAGAGTAATGGAGGCAATAGTTTGTCGGGTGCGATCATACCAGCCCTAATGCACCGGATCCAATCAAAACTCCACAGTGAAGCGCGCTTGGGCGAGAGTAGTACTAGGATGGGTGACCACTTGGGAAGTCCTCGTGCTGCACCCCTTTTTTGTCCGGTTTTGGATTTTCCATTTCATTAATGTGTGCATATATTTTTATTAGTTTATTTATTAATGGCGAGCGAACGCATTGGCAAGGGCAATAGAATGGGGTGGGAATGGGTTTAAAGGGAAATGGAGGCGTGAGTTTATCGGGTGCGATTATACCAGCACTAATGCACCGTATCCCATTAGAAATCCGTAGTTAAGCGTGTTTGGGTAAGAGTAGTACTAAGATTGGTGACCCCCTGGGAAGTTATCGTGTTGCACACCTTTTTTATCTGATATCGGATTTTTAATTTCATTAGTGTGTCAGTATATTTTTATTAGTTTATTCCTTTGTGGCGAGTGAACGCGTCGACAAGGGCAATAGAATGGGGTGGGAATCGGTTTATAGGGAAATGGAGGTGAGAGTTTGTCTGGTGCGATCGTACCAACACTAATGTCCTGGATCTCATCAAAACTCCCCAGTTAAGCGCGCTTGGGCGAGAGTAGTGCTAGGATGGGTGACCCCCTAGAAAGTCCTTGTGTTGTACACCTTTTTTATCAGGTTTTGGAATTTTAATTTCATTAATGTGTGTGTGTATTTTTATTAGTTCATTTATTTATGGCTAGCGAATGCGTCGGCACAGGCAATAGAATAGGGTGGGAATGGGTTTAAAGGCAAATGGAGGCAAGAGTTTATCGGGTGCGATCATACCAGCACTAATGCACCGGATCTCAACAGAACTCCGCAATTAAACAAGCTTGGGCAAGAGTAGTACTAGGATGGGTGAACCCCTGGGAAGTCCTCGTATTACACACCTTTTTTGTTCGGTTTTAGTTTTTTAATTTCATTAATGTGTGTGTATATTTTTATTAGTTTAAATTTAAATGGAGGCGTGAGTTTATCGGGTGCGATTATACCAGCACTAATGCACCGTATCCCATTAGAAATCCGTAGTTAAGCGTGTTTGGGCGAGAGTAGTACTAAGATTGGTGACCCCCTGGGAAGTTATCGTGTCGCACACCTTTTTTTATCCGATATCGGATTTTTAATTTCATTAGTGTGTCAGTATATTTTTATTAGTTTCCTTTGTGGCGAGCGAACACGTCGGCAAGGGCAATAGAACGGGGTTGGAATAGGTTTAAATTTAAATGGAGGCGAGAGTTTGTCGGGTGTGATCATACCTGTAACAAAGCATCGGATCCCATCAGAACTCCGCAGTTAAGCGTGCTTGGGCGAGAATAGTACTTGGATGGGTGACCACCTAAGAAGTCCGCGTGCTGCATCCTTTTTTTGTCTGATTTTGATTGTGTGTATATTTTTATTAGTTTATTTGGTTATGGCGAGTGAATGCGTCGGCATGGGCAATAGAACGGGGTGGGAATTAGCTTAAAGAGAAATGGAGGCAATAGTTTGTCATGTGCGATCATACAAGCACTAATGCATCGGATCCAACCAAAACTCCACAGTGATGCGCGCTTGGGTGAGAGTAGTTCTAGGATGGGTGACCCCCTGGGAAGACCTCATGTTGCACCCAATTTTTGTCCGGTTTTGAATTTTTAATTTCACTAATGTGTGTGTATATTTTTATTAGTTTATTTATTTATGGCGAGCGAACGCGTCAGCAAGGGCAATAGAACGGGGTGGGAATGTGTATAAAAGGGAAATGGAGGTGAGAGTTTGTCGGGTGCAATCATTCCAGCACTAATGCACCGTATCCCTTCAGAACTCTACAGTGAAGCGTACTTGGGCTAGAGTAGTACTAGGATGGGTGACCCCCTGGGAAGTCCACGTGGTGTACCCCATTTTTGTCTAGTTTTGGATTTTTAATTTCATTAATGTGTGCGTATATTTTTATTAGTTTATTTATTAATGGTGAATGAACGCGTCGGCAAGGGCAATAGAACGGGGTGGGAATGGGTTTAAAAGGAAATGGAGGCGGGAGTTTATCGGGTGCGATTATACCTGCACTAATGCACCGTATCCCATCAGAACTTCGCAGTTAAGTGTGCTTGGGCGAGAGTAGTACTAGGATGGGTGACCCCCTGCGAAGTCCTAGGGTTGCCCACCTTTTTCGTCCGGTTTTCGATTTTTAATTTGATTAATGTGTGTGTACATTTTTATTAGTTTATTTTTTTATTGCGAGTGAATGCGTCGGCAAGGGTAATAGAACGGGGTGGGAATGGGTGTAAAGGGAAATGGAGGCGAGAGTTTTTCTAGTGTGATTATGCCATCGTTGATGCCCCGTATCCTATCAGAACTCCCCAATTAAGCGCGCTTGGGCGAGAGTAGTACTAGGATGGGCGACCCCCTGGGAAGTACTCGTGTTGCACCCCTTTTTTGTCTAGTTTCGGATTTTTAATTTCCTTAATATGTGTGTATATTTTTGTTAGTTTATTTATTTATGGCAAGCGAATGCATCGGCAAGGGGAATAGAACCGGATGGGAATGGGTTTAAAGGGAAATGGATGTGAGAGTTTGTCGGGTGCGATCATACCATCGCTAATGCATCGGATCCCATCAGATCTCCGCATTGAAGCGTGCTTGGGCACGAATAGTACTAGGATTGGTGACCCCCTAGGAAGTCCTCGTGTTGCACCCCTTTTTTGTCTGATTTCAATGTTCTATTTCACTAATGTGTATGTGTATTTTTATTAGTTTATTTATTTCTGGCGAGTGAACACGTCGGCAAGGGCAATATAACGGGGTGGGAATGGGTTTAAAAGGAAATGGAGGCAAGAATTTGTCTGGTGTGATCATACCCGCATTAATGCACCGGATACCATCAGAACTCCGCAGTTAAGAGCGCTTGGACGAGAGTAGTACTTGGATTGTTGACTCCCTGGGAAGTCTTCATGTTGCACTCCCTTTTTTTGTTCAGTTTTGGATTTTTAATTTCATTAATGTGTGTATATTTTTATTAGTTTATTTACTTATGCTGAGCGAATGCGTCAGCATAGGCAATAGAACGAGGTGGGAATTGCCTTAAAGAGAAATGGAGGCGATAGTTTGTCGGGTGCGATCATACCAGCACTAATGCATCGGATCCAATCAAAATTCCGTAGTGAAGTGCACTTGGGCAAGAGTAGTACTAGGATAGGTGACCCCCAAGGAAGTCCTTATGTTGCACCCCGTTTCTATTTAGTTTCGGATTTTAAATTTCATTAATGTGTGTGTATATTTTTATTAGTTTATTTATTTATGGCGAGCGAAGGCGTCAGCAACGGCAATAGAACGGGGTGGTGATCGACGGTCGAAATCAATTATAAATCAACCCTCTTCGCAATAGCACGAATCATTGTAAAATAGGGCTATTGGTCGGGTAAGTCGAACCACTGGGACTGCGCTAGTCTAAGGCAACCTAAGTGTTTAGAGTCATTCTTAGGATGATGAAGGGGTGTTCATAGAGGTTTTGTTTGTTTTCACTTAAATTAGGAATTCAAAGTGCATAAAACACTAATTTGCAAGGAATTTAGGATGAAAAGATTAAGAAGAGGAGACTAGGGAAGTGAATCCGCCTCCATCCCTATACATATGCTAGATTAGACCTAAATTGGGGGAAAAACAACATATGATGGTCAAGACTTACATAGCAACACATGGTTGCCATATAAGTAATCAAGAGGTACATTAGGTCTCAAACAAGTATAATCCATCAAAAGATAAACATGCTTAGACTACCTAACTAAGGTGTAGCTTATACACATTTACTTAAATGAGAGACTATCAAGTTTTTGACAAAATGATAAAGCACATGGAGTTAGAGATTAAGCATACACCATCAAAGGATTTCCTAAGCAATGGTCTATCAAAGTCACCTATCAACATGCCATGAAACCATTTCATAACCTTGCTTCCACTCTCACCATGAAAAACTCAAGCAATATGATTACTCTAAGACATCATCTAAGACAAGATAATCAACTTAAAGAAATCATCCATACATGTATCAACATTCATTACAACAAATGAGGTGCTCTTGGTTATGAAAAGACCATAAAATATACATGGCAAATCCCCAAAATAGACTATCCTAGGACATGCTTACAAGGGAGGGACTTCATCACCTCCCTAGAGAAAGAATTAGTTACCCATTGCTAAGCTAGAAGAAGGAAGAAGCTCCATCCAAGACTCCATTTTCGTGCTCCTACTGTAGCACTCAAGAACACCCTCCTCCTTGCTCTCTTCTCTCTCCTCTAATCTTGCTAAAATCAAAGATAGCAAATGTGTGGCCTTTGGTAGCTTTTTATTCTCCAACAACACCCTCTCTCTCTCCTCCAAGGAACACCTCCAACCACTTCATAAAGAAGGAAGATGGCATTGAGGAAACCAATGTGCAAGTGGCCGAAATTGAGCCATTTCCGAGTGCAATCTGCCTGATTTTCGAGCACTCGAAAAGTGATCTCGAGCACTCTAACTTAGTGCAATGTGCAACATGCTCCTCTTGCTCAGCGCTGACCTATTTTGGTAAAACTGCTATAACTTTGTGCCCCGAACTCCGAATGATGATCTGTTTGAAGATTTGGAGAGCTGATTCAGTGCTTTAAAAACTTCATGTTTTGATGAAGACCCAATTCTCAAGTCTGATTGGTCGAAAATGAAGATCAAGGCAGAATTGCATTGCTGCCAGGCAGTTCTGCGCACCTCTGGTAACAAGGCCATAACTCTCTGCTCCAAGTTCCGAATGACATACCGTTTGAAGATTTGGAAACCTGATTCAGAGCTCTAAATCTTTCATGTTATGAGGGAAGTCCAGTTCTTGAGTTTACTAGGTCAAAAATGGCGACAAAAGTCAGGATCACTGCTGCCAGAAATTCAGAAATGGCATCCTTTTTGTTCAAAATTCCACAAGGCATCATTTTTGCTTCCTTTTTGCACTTTCACCTGAAAATGCATAAAAACATGCAAATGGAGTTAATCTACATAAAATAATCAATTAATGGACTTTGTTAATGTACTTTAGGGCGCTTGAATATACAGTATTCAGCGCTTATCACACCCCCAAACTTACATTTTGCTAGTCCCTTAGCAAAACCAAAATGCAAAACTCAATGGAATGAAAACATGGGAATGCTATTTCAAAAATATTCACCATGGCAAAGATAAACATAAACATAGCTCAAATACAACTTGAAACAGATAAAGAGCTGGAGACGGGATCATTGGGAAGACTACCTTCCATATATGAAGCATTGATACAAAACAAAAAAAATGGGAAAGACCATTTCAACATGCATGCATCAACATCATAGTCCATATAAATAATTCAATTGTCATCTCTTAAATGGAAATAACTCAAACTCCAGTGAAAGTGAATTGAATCCTCAAGATGCGGCTTTTACTTTCTTTTCCAATTCCAAGGCACAAGTTTTCAAATCTATGAATTCCCCTTTACATGAAGTCCCTAAGGCATGATTTTATTTTCAAGACAACTTTCATAAGCGAAACATAGAATGGTTGTGCAATGCTAAAGTCCCTTAAGCTTTCTAACCAACCTATGTAGCAAGCATTAGGCCAACAACTCCCAAACCAGACGGCTTTAGGGTGTTAAGTGTAGAGACACTCCAAAGGGCTTAATAGCTCAAGTTGGAAAGGCTACGAACTCTAGCTAACCATATTTATTACAATTTTTTTTGAATGACCGTGCAATGTTTAAGTCTTTTAAGCTTTCTAACCAACCCTTGTAGCAAGCGTTAGGCCAACAACTCCCAAACCAGACGGCTGTAGGGTGTTAAGTGTAGAGACACTCCAAAGGGCTTAATAGCTCGAGTTGGAAAGGCTACGAACGTCAACTGGTCATTTTATTATTATTATTATTATTTTATTATTATTATTATTATTATTATTATTTTTATTTTATTTTTTAAATCATGCCAAAGATATTCATCTATCAGGTTCATCAAATCAGATTAACTAGGCCAAGGTCAAGGTTGATCAAGTTGCATGCCTCACAGTTAAGTTTCCAATGTGCATCTGTGCATTGTGAAACTTATAAGAGTGTAAATCCAGCAAGAATCTAATTGAAACATTTATACAGACTAATTTGAATCTACATAATCATTTCAACTCAAATTTTTTTTTATTTTCAAAAATTTCAATTGCTTCTATACACAAGGTATTAAACATATGTTTCATCTCCGACAAGTGTTAAGTTATACTATCATCGCTTAGCAAAAATTATAAAACCAAAAATATGCCAAGAATACTTTGATGCACCCCCAAACTTAAACTACACAGTGTCCTCAATGTGGGACATGGATGTAAGTTAGAGACAAAAAGGACAAAGAGT